AAGTGCCTTATGATGCCTTCCAACTTGCAGTAATCGGTAAACTCATTACTTGTATATTCACCTCCATTGTCACTTCTCAGGTACTTGATCTTTCTTCCAGTTTGATTCTCTGTTTCTGTTTTCCATTCCTTGAACTTTGCAAAAACCTCGGATTTCTGCTTCATGAAATAAACCCAAACCTTCCTAGAAAAATCATCCTTGAAAGTAACAAAATAGATGGCTCCACCATTTGATTTGGTTGGTGCAGGGCCCCAAACATCTGAGTGAATATAGCTGAGTTGCTCCTTGTTTCGGTTATCTGCACTGCTACTTGCGAATGATACCTTCCTTTGTTTTCCATGAACACAATATTCACAAAAGTCCAGTTTGCAAGATGACACGCCTTCCAACAGGCCTTGCTTGTGTAATTCTTGTAACCCTTTCTGGCTTATGTGCCCGAGCCTATGATGCTAGAGTTCAGTCTTGTCTTCTATACCTTGATTTATAGAAACAGCTGCTCCCCCGACTATAGTGGTCCCAATTAACTTATATAGCTTATTGGGTTGTAGGTCACCCTGCATTACCACCAGTGATCCTTTGGTTACCCCGAGTCTTCCCTTTTTAGACTCATACCCATAGCCGGCTGTTGTGTAGATACAGCTGCACCAAAATGGATTCAGTTGCATCCTCAACTTGTGATACTCGCAAGTGCACGAGCCGTTTGGTAGTATAGCATATGTAAGTGCGAGGTCGATCCCACGAGGATTGGTGATTGAATGATCCAATTCATTTTCCCTATACAAAACAGAAACAAAAACAAAGAACATGAAAGAAGGAAAAAAGAAAATAAGTAGTGTCGATTCCTTTTACAGGACATGAAGAATCATCCCCCATTAAAACTTCCCCACTGCTAACTTCTTTGTAAGTTTCAAACCATTCTCTTACTGCACGCATATGAAAAGTGCATCCAGTATCCAAAATCCAATTTGTGAAAGCCTTGGAGCCTGATCTTACTGAAAGAAGCTCCCCTTCACTCTCATGCTCGATGACTGCACTAGCTAAACCTGAGCTTCCTTCCATCTTGGCTTTCTTCTCTTTCCAAATCTTGCAGTTCCTCTTCCAATGATCGGCTGAACCACATACGAAGCAACCTTCCTTTTTTTCCTTTTTCTTCTTGGATTTTGACCTACCTCTGTTGCTTGTTTTCTCTTCCTTTGTCTTTTCCCGCCCCCTCTCCGTGCCTTTGGCATAAAGGCTTTGAGAGTTTTCAGTTATATCATCTAGTTTAGCATATGACTAAAGAGCTTGAATTACGTCTTCAAGCTTCAGGGACTCTTTTCCAAACATTAGACTTATTCGAAAGTGCTTGAAAGACGAAGGTAGAGACCTCAGCAAGATGATAGCCATATCATCATCTTTGTAAGTTTCTTCAACCTTTTGAAGATTAGTTATGCAATTCTGGAACCTGCAAACGTGATCTTCAATATCACCTCCTTCTTCCAGTCGAAGTCCGAATAGTTCATCCTTTAGAAAAAGTTTATTGGACACGTTTTTGCCCATATAAACATTCTCCAACTTTTCCCATGCTTCATGGGTAGTCATCTTTTCAGTGATGTGTGACTGAACTGATCTTGTGAGATGGATCTCGATGGAGCTCTTGGAGTTCTTGAGAACCTTAATCCATGTTGTGTCTGTCATGCTTGTCGGCTTCTCACCATTGAGTGCATCATCCAAATCTTGCTGTATCAGTACGTTCTTCATCATCCTTTGCCAGTCCGTGAAGTCATCCTTGCCGTCAAAAGGTTTTAACGCGGGTCCTAGATCCGCCTTCATCTTCCCTTTAGACATCGTAGAACCCCTTGAACCTGGCTCTGATACCAATTGTTAAATAACCCGCTGTTGGATCTTGTTCTTTAATGTAACCAATGGAAATAAACTAAACTAGCAAATATTAGAAAACTTAGACACACACAAGAATTATACTGGTTCAGCAGAACTTTTGCCTACGTCCAGTTGTGATTTCTCTAGGTAGAGAAATCACCGCTCCTTTGATTAATAATAGAGATTACAAAACTTTTGCAAACCCTAGAACTAATCTCAAAACTCTTGGCTGTCTCTGGCTGTTTTTCCCTCTCTTAAAATAAGCCTTGCCGCACCCTATTTATAGATATAGAGTTGGCTTACATGTCCCAAGGCTGATTGAATTCCTATTCCTAAGTGGATTAGGAAATTACACTTATCCAAAACCAAATAGGCTTATAGAAATCCAAACTTGAATTGAATAAGGAAAACTGAAATTCTTTCCTAATCTTCTAGGACAAGAATCGATATACCTCTAATTTTCCTAAAAACAATCCTAAACCAACTAGGACATATTTGACGAGCCAAAATCCTAACACAAGTCACATGTACTCTTGGAGAACTCACCTAAGTGAGAGACGTCGTGAGGTCGTGACTGTGAGAATTGGGCTATTCTTTAGCAACTCTCATGAGAATCAAGATTAGTGCATGGCCATAAATAGAGCTACCCCGCTTCCAAGTCTCAACCAATACTATGTGTGGGATATGTTGAAGTTTGGTCAAAAGTGCCGAGTTCAATACTGTGTACACTCAGGTTCCTCAAATGAAAACTATCATCACTAAGTGAAGGTTCAAGCCCGGAAGGCACTTACACCTATTGCATAGTATTATGTTGCCCATATGTATATTTTCTTTATCTTTTACTATTTTAAAATTTTAAAACCCTTTGTGGGGGATTGTTATTATTTGAAAGGATTTTAAATTTTAACGTTTTATTTTCTGTTTTAATTTTTGGCTGTTTTCTTTTATTTATTATGGGAGTTACAAATTGTTTAATTTTCAGTTTAATTTTCTATTCATTGCACCAACTTTTCTGGTTAAATGTGTTTGGAGGTTACGAGTATTGGATGCCTATAAAAGGCCACTTTTCCTTCACTTTTCAACACACTACAATCAGAGTCTCTATTCTCATACTTTCATATATGGCGAGGGGGCAAAGTGAGATGCAAAACATCGGTCAAGGGGATAAAGTCACTTTAAGGGGGTTTAGTGAGAATTGACCAATGTTTCAAGGGGCACTATAGTACTTAAGAATATATATAACGGAATTTTTAACAGACTTGATGGTGAGGGGGCAAAGTGAGATACAAAACATCGGTCAAGGGGATAAAGTCACTTTAAGGGGGTTTAGTGAGAATTAACCAATGTTTCAAGGGGCACTGTAGTACTTAAGATTATATATATATATATATATCATCTACTCGTTAAACCAATTCTATATATTCTACAAATTTTGGCATAATTAATTTTAAAATTAAAAAATAATGGAATTAATAAGTAATACAACTAGTTAACAATAATGCTAAATTGGAGAAAATATTTAGGACGATTGATAAAATTACGAATATTTGTGAAATTTTTACTTCCATTGAAAAAAGCATTTGCGTGGGCCTCCTGGCGAGATTGATCCAGCCGTTGCTGTTGTGTTTGATGAATTGAATGGAACCTTCAACTTTTCACAGTCGACAGAAACTTCATATTTTTTAAGGCCACTAAAAATCCATTCCCAACCTCCTTTCATACGGAGGATTGCTTGGATTTTCACGTTGAAACTTACAGCTCCAGTTGTGCTCTTTTCTGCATCAATGGCTTTCGCTATCTGATTGCTGACAACCGTGGGAGAAGCAACCACGACGACCAGCACCAACTTGGTCTCCTCTGGCTGCTGCACAAAAGGGTCGATGAACGCGCCTCCAAGAAACGCATTCTTGTAAAAGACCTCGGCGTCGAGCTTGCGATAAATTAGCCTGCCGCTGCCATAAGGGTTTGTGAAGAAGAAAGTGATGTTCCAGTGAGCAGTTATTTTAGGGTTTGTAGCAGAAACGTCGATGCTGAAGGGGTCAGCAGAAAATGAGCCCAGTTGGACGCTTGGGGTGGAGAACCCTTTTGGAGATAAAGTGCCGGAGAAAAACAAAACAAATCATATTGAAAATAACAAAACAGAAAATAATGAATGCGGTTAGATTATCTGCATCCTCAGGCTTAACCCTTCCGGTCTTTTCTGGTGACGATGACTGAAGCAGAGGTGCTTCCTCATCAACTTCACCCACACCCGCACCCACCTTTTGGTCTGCCGATTTTCCTCCTTCAGTCTTCTTGACTGCTATACACATGTTTAGAGTTTAGGGTATGTTTGCTTGCTAAGGATGAATGCAGGAGGGAGGAGATTATGAATATGAAGAAAAGCTAGCTAGGCCCTCGTTTCTGGTTTTTGGTGGTGGTGTTGGTTTGTCTTTTAAATAGTGACCAGGGGAGTAGTTTGTTTATAATTCTAAGTCCTAAATAAGATAGATAACCACTGAATTATTTGTTGTATGGAATCCGTATTGTCACATAACTTTCTAAATCCCAGCAGGAAAAGAACTCTATATACGATCGAATTCGTACGCACATATTACTTGTACATGAACATTGAATTATCTCTCTCTGTTTTTTTGTTTGTTTTTGTTTTGGTTCTGTATGGAATTAATACGAGTTCCTATAATGTTTAAACTCTGGTTTGCCAGATTCCCCAATCCCCGAGATTGAAGCCGCAGATGAAAGCGGCCTCTCCCTCCAATTCTAATCTCTATTGGTTTAACTTTTGACTCTCTCCACTCTCACCAGTGCATAAGATGCAAATATTGACATGAACACCATTCATAATAAGATATGAAGTTAGCTAAGTTGACTATATCTAAATTGGTTCGAACCACCCTCTCCGTAGTTGAGATTAGATTAAAGTAAAATATTGCTTGTATAAAAATAGAAAAAGGAGTAAGAAATATAATAAGAATAGGAACAGTTTCATACCATTATCACAATTATTAAGTCCTTCAGGCATAGTTACGCAAATCTTAAAATCTGAAGAATTGCTTAGACTTAATCTACATCAAGCTTGGGGTTTGAAGAGAGCATATGTGCGCGTGTGAGTATATTTTGAAACGAAACAAGGAGGAAATTGGTAAAAGATGCGTCTATATATTTGGTTTAATTCTTTCATCTTTTTTAAATTGGTATAAGATAGGAATGTTCCAACAGACGTCTCTAAGTTAGACAATTTCCCACTATATATGTTCGTTTGATCTCATCTTGTTCGGGACCCAGAAACTCACAACTCACAAGAATCAATCTCTTTTTTTTTTTTTTTAATGACCTTCCCATATTAAGGTCCTGCCTGTCAAGATTTAGATATACTATACGGGGTATCAAAACATTATACTAATCATATATCTCACATTTGACACAATGTTAATCCTGTTTACAAACAAAGATTCATAGGGATGTTATCCTACATCCTGGGCTTTCGAATTTCTAATCCCCGAAAGCTTGGTTAATCGTCGAAACCGCAACCTATTAAGACCCTACCAGGCCAAAACCAAGCAATTCAACCTCGTTTTACTGGCCTTTGAACATAAGATTTGTTGGGGTCTTCAGTCTTGAGCTTTGGAGGTCGAATTTCTCCTTTCTTGGCCTGCAAATGAACACATATAACCGTATATTGAGCAACTATCATTTTCTTTTAAATATTTTCAAGACACGACAATACAGGTCAGTTGTTGCTCATAATAGAGTAGCTGAATGAGCACATCTCACCTTCTTTCCGCCCTTCATAAAATCCCTCCAACTTGAAACCTGATCATTAAGTGAAAAGGGAAATGAACAAGAGTGAGGAAATTGAACTTTCATATATCCCTATCAATGGGTTTGGAAATTAAAATTCTCAAATTGGAATTATAGACATAATTTGTCATTCAACCTAACGACATATTACGCAAATCAAATTAATAACTGTAAAGAACCACATGTCAAGCAATATGACAGTTGATTGGAAAACTGAGTCCAGTAAAGATTTCCAAAAGTTTTGGAAGAAATATAGCTGCAATTATAGACTTGACGGGCAAAAATGAGTTCAAAGCTGGAAACATGGACATCTCCCCATGATATTTCACATGCATCTTATGCCCTGGAATATGAAAGTTCAATATTACCTTTGAAGAAGGAAATAAAATACTTTGCAGCCTTTGGAAAATAAAGAATATCAAGATACAACATATATTTCAATGGAGATGCCATTCAAAAATTCAGTGGGCACTGGGTAATAACAAGAGGTACAGGTTAGGTTCTCACAGATCCTGACAAGAGAATGGCATACAATAATATATAGAATGTGAGGTGGTTTGAAGTCCCCAAGTTCTTGGCTATTTAAATGCTTCCGGAGGGCTTGCTAGTATAGATAACCATAAAATTCACAATTCAAATAAGACCATCAGCACCCATTTGGACCATGACAACCACAAACTAGCCATTGTCAATTTGATTAAACGTTGGCTTCATTGTGGACAACTGAACATGTATCTGTAGCATGTCCAAAATATCTATATTAACTGCTCATATCTCCTCAGTTCCTCATTCTTTTATTTTATTTGGTTGGCATTTAAATGTATGAGACAGGCAGTTGAATCAACCGTTCCAGTTATATTAAGCAGGAAAGATCCCCTACATTGACTAGATTTTGTTGAACGAAAAAACTTATGAATGGAATGAATTTCGAGTTCTACATAGTACATGCATAACCTGGGAATAACAGGGGCAACTCCCTTTACCTTAGACCTTTAATCATGAGAACAACCAAACAAATCCAACAGATAACAACATTTAGCTACAATCTTGTAACCTTTAAAGCATACACATAGAATTAAAAATAATGTCTAAAGGAACTGATGACAATAACTACCTCATATTGTAAATTCAAGCCCAACTGCGCACATTTTATGTTGCCATACATAGAAAAGAGCAAAAAGATAGAAACAAACCCTTTGTTCTCTTGTTCCTTCCCACTGTTCCTCATGCTCTCTTTTTCTTTTCCACATCTCTTTGGTCTCTTCTTCATCTTTTTTCAATCTACCTTCCTCTTCTGATATCTAAATGGCAATGAAGATAAAGAAAACTTTATATGGAACTTTAGATACGCAAAGCTCAATGAATCAAAAGAAAAAAAAAAACTACATTTTCAGCATACCCTCATTTGCATTTTTCTCCTTCGCCATTCTTGTTCTGTTAATATTTCTCGAACCTTCATTTTCAGTTCTTGCTGGAACTCTTCTGACTGTTCATACTGTTGCTCATATTTACCCTGTATCATATAACAAAGAGGCACAATGTTTACTTGGTTGCTTCCCAAGCCAGGAATTGGGAAAGGCCAATAAAAACTAACTACTTGAATTATGGACCCCCATGTCCAAAACACTCCCCATTCCCTTCCTCACAACAGGGGAAACATCAAAAGAAATATTAAAGGAATATTATGTAAATCAGTAAACAAAGAAGGATAGAGAAGGAACCATAACTAAAAAGCTATATGAATAGTATGCAAAGTAAAAATGAACCAGAATAGCATTTTCAATATCCTATGCTATCAAAGAAACATAAAGAGTAAGACAACCTGACTTATGAATCTTTATTATTTATATAAGTAACAGGAATTTTCATCAAGAAGAAAAGAGTAAAAAGATAGTGAACAGGGTCCACTTCTGAAAAAAAATAAACATGAAACCTGGAACAACAAAACTCTATCATAAGAGGAATACAACAGCACAAAACCATAATTTCCAAAGAACTATAAAACAACTGCTTTCATATCTAACAAAATAGGGTGCTGATTTTCCCACTTCCCTTTGCTTTTTCTAATACTTTTTACTCTAACATACAAGGGAGTGTAAGTGGACAAAAGAGGAATGGGAGCATACAATTTCAAACAAATGGAGTGTAAGTGGACAAAAGAAAAGTGGGAAAATCAGCTCCCATAAAATAACATAAATTTTATCTCTCTTTCCAACAAAAATCATGTGATAGGGGTTATTAGCTGAAAGTTCAGTAAAGAGCCATTTATCTAGGGCATTCTTCATGGGGCACTTTACCATCAGCAATAAGGCAAATCTTGTAAGAAATCAAATCTTACTAAAATACTCATTTTGTAATTTCTTTTGGGCGATATTAATTCTATAAGTCAAATCTACCTAATTAATTATAATGATTTATCGGTCAAAAGAAAAAGGATCTAAATCTGTAAATGATGCCACCAGATTGGTCATAACAAGAAACAGATATATGCAACATATGCAAGCGAAAAAGAGTTCGGGGATCTGAAAGTACCTCATCAACCAATGATTTTATTTTAGAAGCTGTATCTTTCTTCAACTGCTTCTTCCTTTTTGCTCTAAGTTCATCTGCAGTCCATATTAAGAAATTATAATTGCTTTTCCCCCTCCAGTAACACAAACCCCACCCAAAGAACAAATAACTTAATAATTAAGAATGAAAGATGCGAGAAGGATAATTGGATTATACATTACTTCAGGATGGCACAAAATAGTTTGAATGCTTCATACTTATCTAATCTAACCAAACCACATTTTGAGATTTGTAAACGCTTTTGGATGTATTAAGAGCCCAATGTAGATGGGAAAATCTAGCCACAAAAACAAACAAAAAAGAAATAGACTTTAGTACTGACCTTTGGCTGCATTGACTTGGCTAATAATATAATCCCTTTCCTGTTGATCGAGTAATAGCTGTTGCGCTTTTGCCAATGCTGCCAACAAAGCAATAACCAATGTTAATTTAAGCAAACATTTCAATATAGAAATACAAATGTCCATTAATATATGTATTACAGATAATTTGCATCCATACTCTGTACAAAACCAAAGCATTAGCAAGCACCACACTGTCAACAGCTGCCTACCAACAAGGGAAGACAATGCATCTAATGTGATGTCATCTTGCACATGTTCAAAGTAAAAAATTACCAACCTAAAACACAATACTAACACAAATGACACATTCAAGATCATTATTTTTTCTCTTTTCTTTTTGGAGAAAATAAAGAGTATACTGATAAAAGTCGATAGGTACAAAAACTTCTGCCTAGCTGTGAACAAGATATCCACAATCTAGGCAAAACTATATGATAATTCTATTAAATCGAGTGTACAACTACAAACATCTCTCTAAACACAGAATACAGAAGTCAACTTAGCTCCCAGCTGCACCCAATGCCCAATGGGTACCCATTGCCCATCCCTAACTAAAGGTAAAAAGCTGCCCTACTATGGACTAGAGTATATGAATACATAGATGCTACTTTAGAATTTAAAGATCAAAACTGGTACTACAGAATTCACAGATACTTCAGTCTGCGTATAAGCTTACTGAAGCTATCCAAAATCATGTCCATTCATGTATGTTTCCAATAACATGTGTTAGTTCAGGGTTTAAATCATGTCAAAACACATTAAAATCATCAGATTTCAAAGGAAAACTATACATTTATATTTATATACCAAACATATGTTCAGTAAAAAACTTGAAATAAAATGGAAACTGTTAAAAACGTATTTAAACCCAACACACGGTATAAAACATAGATTTAAGCACCTCCAAATGCCTCCTTAGCCTGTGGATGCTTGCACTTATCGGGGTGAACCATTAAAGATAACTGTAAGCAATTCAAATAAAAATGTGTCAACCAATGACTGAATCATAAAATCACCAAGAAAACGGCCATACCAAATTTAAGTTGAAGGAGGGAATTACCTTACGATACTGCTTTTTGACATCTTCTGGGGATGCATCAAAGGGTAAGTTAAGATACTCAAAAGGATTTAACTTGAAGCACGAGAGGATCCTACATATTTTTGCCAATGCCGAGAAAAACTTAATTAGATACTTGTGACATACCTACAAAATGTTTCTTTGCATTGTGTGATAAACTGATAGTAACAGATATATTACATTTTATTTATAAAAAGCTCAAAATTCATTCAAAGAGAAAGAAGCCTAAGTTGAGTGGGTAATGTCCAGTTGTGTATCCTTTATGGACAATGCTGTTTAGGGAGACCCAAGTTGAGTTGGGCAATTCCAGAATCTTGTGCTGCATTACCATGTGCAAAGCCAAAGTTTTGTGGAGGGAGGGGCTTGGTGCAAGGTAGATGTGCTGTATTGGCAATATTTTGGGCTGTTTGGATGGAGGGAAGCAAGACTTTTTTAAGATGCTAAAGGGGACGATGTGGATTTTCTATGGGACAGAGTTTCCTTCTGGGAATCCTTGTGGGCTTCACAACCCCAGAAAACAAAGCACCCTCTTCTCTCTAACAATTTGAACATTTATCTAACAATACATTAGACAAAACACTCAGCTAACTTGACCTATTTCAATCTATCCATTATATAGCATTCCGCAATGCGTACATGCACATTCTTCTAATCTAGTCCAAAAATAATGCACAAGTACACACATGTACTTCGAAAAAATTCCAACAACACATGTTCAATCATATTAAACGCATTACAGTGCAAACCGCAGCTCCATAAATCTTGTCAAAGTATGTATGAAAAATAAAAAGAAATTTGAAATGCAGTACACCTCATTAATAACTCTAATTCCCAGCCAAACCCATAGGTAGGCAATACATATTGCAACCTATTCGATTTCAATCAGGGCAATACATATTGCAGCGACGTGAATTTCAATAAGGGTTCCATTAATTGCCCACAAATATAAATAACCCCATCGCCAGAACCCTAATTACCAATTAAACTGTAACCATAACCACATCGTTTAGTAACAAACCCATATAATAACTCATATTCAATGACATACACACAAATATAACATACATGTACATGCACACATAGAGAGAGGGAAAGACCTGAGGACTTGGTTGTCCCTCTCAACTTCACTAACTTCAGCGAAGAAGTTCTTGAGAAGCAAATCGCCGTCCATGGATGCCTCACCCCCCTACAAATTTCGATCTGGATCGAGCGTACCCAATCGCGGTACGGTATCGATCTGGAACGAAAGATTTATCGACTCAGTTCCAGAGGAGAGAACACTACCTAATAGACGACGTCGCTGCTACAGAACAGTACCTGACCTTTGACAACAGACGAGCAATCGAGGGCACATGAGGGAGAGTGCTACACGTTTGATTCTTTTTTGGACGAATAGATTCGAATAGGTGGGACTGGTGATAAATGGATGCAAGCGGCTCTAGTCCGTTGGATCTAATCCAACGGATGAAAATAAGTCCAATCTTACAATAGAAACGGGTAAATAAAACCCGTGTGTGTAATGACCACCCGACTAAACTTGAACAAAACGTAGCGATGCCTTCTCTCCTTGTCTCCAACCTGTGAAACAACTTCCTCTTCTTCCACACCAAGTCCACCATGGATGATCGCGGAGATCCAATCCTCCCTTCACATTCGCCTTTCTCTCTCTTTCTTTCTCAAATCTTGAGGCCCATCAAAAAAAAGATTCCACCTTCCCAGCAATTCTTCGCTCAAAGAATCTACAGTAGCAACCTTTAATCTGCTACCTCCTCAATTTCATCCTGGTGTGTCTTGGTTGGTAGCCTAGAGAGGTAAATATGCAAAAAAATATTCTAAATTAGCATATTTTTTTGGTGTATTGAAACCTGGGATTGTTAATATAAATTAGGCTTTTATTTTTTTATTTTTTTATATTGAGTTTTAGGTTATAATATCTGCCTTTGATTTATGCTGGTTTTCAGTCTTCTAGTTTCTAGTTAGACAAACCATTTGCAGAGAAGGAGAGGATTATATATTAATTCTGCACTATTTGGCTGCTGCATTTTTTATTGATGAAGAAAATGAAACAGTGACTAGGTAAAAATGAAATAATGAAGCAAATGTTTGAACGCTTATTTTGTTATGTTTTGAAGCCTCATGCATGTGTTATGTTCTGAAGGCTTTTAAGAAAATGAAATGGTGAATAGGCCAGAAAATTTATTTGTCCATGGGTTTGCGAATACAGGTAGTTGGTTTTTGTTTAACTTTAGTATTACTAATACGTAATAACTTGATATTGTTCAACTAGCTGGCCCTTGTGTTTGTAGTCATAAAGCATGTATATGCTTATAGGTCTAGCCACACCACATTGATTTATAGTTTCTGTTATAAGAGTGTTTGGTCTTTATATGTATATATATATATATATATATATATATATATGGGAACGTGAATGGTTGAGCAGATTAACAAAGTGAGTTTAACTCTTGTTGACTCTTTAATCTACCAAGTGTTGATGCGTAATTTTTTTCTTTTCTAGGTATCTAATTTGATAGAGATACAAGCATATGATAAAGTTTTCGTAGCATGATGACATACAATTGATTGTATTGTAAGCTCCCTTAATTGTCCCATGACTATTCCCTTGTCTACCTCATACAAGAAAAAATATGTAAGTAAAAAAAAAATTTATAAACATGTATGTTGCAGTCTTCTCCTATTAAAAGTTGGTTCTGGGAAAATATTATAGATTAACTAGGATCAGCAAGAAATTGGATTTCGAAGCGAACATGGCTAAGGTGTGTCGAGCCCTGAATATACCCGCAGCATTTTGCGAATGGTACTGGCTGTTGAGCGAGTATCGGAAAAAGGCTAGTGATTTGCCCTTGCTAAAGATGCTGAGAGATAAAAGTAGTATAGACCAGACTTAGATGATCATCCTTTTGAACAAGAGGAGTTCTCGATCGAACTCCTTAGAAAGAGGAAGGCCGACGCTAGGTCCTCCAAAAATGAAGCTGCAACTTCACGAGCAAGGAATGTGTCTCTGCTGAGAAAGAAGTTAAGACTTCCTTCTGCTGTGATCAAGTCTTATTTGAAAGAGGTCTCGTTTGTTGAGAAGACTAAATTAGGAGCTGCTCCTTCGTTATCTGCCAAGGTCAAGCACCTCGTCGGCACGGATAGTAAGATTGGCAGTATGCGGTATGTTCAGGACATTCTACTTAAGTCTCCAACTGACAAGCTCAAAACTTGCAATCTGCCATGCAAATAAGTCTGTTTTTGAACTTGTTCGCCTGGCGATAAATAAATGGTTGCTATCATTCCTCACCAAAGTTCGAGTTGTCTGCACCAGTCAAGGGATGAGGATCAAACTGGGAGGATTGCTCCACTGTCTAACAATCATGATCCATCTACTAAGCCACAAGCAGTCAATCACGAAGCTGATTCATCATCATTGACTCCTTTGGAGGCGAGGATGGCTACGGCTAGGCGTGGCAATGGGTTGTGTGGGTTCGTGTCGCATCGGGATAATAAACGTGTCAAGAATGTTCAACCCAAACCCAACCCATTTAAAAAAACGTGTCGTGTTGGGTTCGAGTCGTCTTAAACAGGTTACCTAATTAATAACCTGTTTACTCATTCCTAGTTTCCAATAGATTCGTACACTTGTGGGTATTTATAGTTGGATGATTAGCACATTAATTTGTGTCATTAAAATTAAAATATAAAAAAAAAATAATTAAAAAAAATTGAAAAATTAGAAAAATATTTCTTTCACATTAAAAAAAAGAAAAAAGAAAAAAGGGACTACATTAATTTTTATTTATTTAAAAACAACAACATCATGGCGTACTTCATGATTCCACAATAGGAGCCTTTAGTTTGGCCCTCTGGACCTCTTCTCTTGGGTTTTAATGCACAGCTTCTTTAGGGCTCATCACTCGAGCTCCCAAAGATCACACCCTTAGCTTGAGCATAACTTGTGTCGTGATCTCGTTTGCTTGCGTTTACCCGGTCGATCCAGGGCCTCCAGCTGCTTTTGCATGTTTTAAGAGTAAAAATCTACCTTTTTTAAAAATAAAAAAAAATAAAAATTTCTTTATAGCTTTTGATTCTCTTCTTGCAATATTTCAAGCTGATGTCGATTCGCCTCCGTCGTCTTTGCTCTCTCCCTCTTTAAACTCCATATAAGACAATGACAATCTTCAATCAAACTCCGCTCTACCACCAATTGAGCTGTTAGCACCTGCACCTCATGGGATTTCACAATGAGGCGATGCCCCACACTTGCGGGCAAATGCCGGACTTTGCGCGCTCAATGCCATGGCATCACTCACCACCTGATCATCATCCCTCGTCCCCAGCACGCGCATATCCCTAGGAGTCACTAAACTCCTTGCAACTCCAATGGCAACATCGTTGTCAATGAGTAATAAGTCGTTTACAGTCATTGGTCCTTGTGAGGAAGCAAAGTAGGGCATCCACACTGGTGCAGCCCTTTACCCCCATGTCTATGTTGGGGTAGCTAGGTTTAGATTGAGAGAAGGTGATAATGAAGAAGCCATATTTTATTTCTAAGTTTGAGGAGAATGGGAAGGAAGAAAATTGGCGAAGCTAGGTGTTTTGTTTTATGAGTTGTGATTTTTTTCCCCTTGTTTCCTTTTATACCTGCCCATTATGACACTCGTTTCTGATTTTTCCCCACACCTCTCGTAAATCCTAGAGACGTGGGGAAAAATCCCGAAGCGAAAATTACGTTGCGGAAATCACTAAACCACGCCATGATGTTGTTTTTATATAATAAAAAAATTAATGTAGTTCTTTGTTTCTTCTTTTTTAATGTGAAATAAATATTTTTCTAATTTTTCCTCTTTTTATTTATTTATTTTAATTTTAACGACGCAACTTAATGTGCTAATCATTCAACTATAAATACTCACAAGTGTACAAATCTATTGGAAACTAGGAATGAGTAACCAGTTTAAGATGACCCGAACCCGACATAACACGTTTATTAAATGGGTCGGGTTTGGGTTGAGCATTCTTGACACGTTTATTATCTCGACCTGACATGACCCATTGCCACGCCTACCTACGTCTCCCTTAGTACGTTTTGGCGATTGCCTATGTCTCCTTTAAGACGTTTTGGCAAGTGGACTTTGTCTCCCTTAAGAAGTTTTGACGGTGGACTACGTCTCCCTTAGGACATTTTGGCAGTTGCTTACGTCTCTCTTAAGACGTTTTGGCAGGTGGTATATGTCTCCCTTATGACGTTTTGGCGGTTGCCTACGTCTCCCTTAGAACGTTTTGGCAGGTGGCAAATGTCTCCCTTAGGACGTTTTGGCGGTCGCCTACGTCACTCTTAGGATGTTTTGGTAGTTTCCTTCGTCTCCCTTAGGATGTTTTGGTAGTTGTCATGCGTCTTCTTTAGGACACTTCATTATAGTTGTCCTACGTCTCCCTTAGGACATCTTGGATATCTTCTTGCGTCTCCCTTAAGACACTTTGGATCTTCTCTTGAACACTTCTTTTGAAAAACTCGAATTTCTTCGAAGTGGAGTGGACTTAGTCATTTGTCTGCCGCGCAAATCTCACAGCCTGGAGTTCCGGGCCGAGGGGATGTGCGTTAACAC